CTTTGTCCCTAAGGGGAAAATGAATGTGCTGGGATCTGTCCATAAGTTCAGCGGCTCAGTGTAAAGAACAAATCAAGGTCAGAATGCAGCTGAATGCACAGAGATGTTTCATAATATAGTCTAGATCTCTTGCTTTTGTCTGACTCATTAAAAACTTATGTAATTTAAAGATTATTTTTATTTGCTGTAAGATTTTTAGTGGGAATTCTTTGTAAAGGATATTTCATCACCATCTTCAGTACTTTATGTTCATTGCTTATTTCCTCTGTGGCAATGGCCACTGTAGCAATTGCTTTAGTGTAAGGAGGATGATAACTTGCTAAGGTTTGGTACTTATGGTGTTATCTAATGCTGTAAGCCACACATATATATAACTTTTGAAAGGTCTTTTTCCACCTATGCCCTTGTAAAAATGGAATATCACCTTTTCACCATGGTTCTTCAGCAGCCACTTTCAGCATGAAAAACCTGCTGGACCAAGATGTTTGTCTAAAAGTAATTAGTCTAATAATCAAACTGGATCTCTCTCGTGGAATCACAGAATTATTTAGGCTGGAGAAGACCTCTGAGATCAAGTCCAGACTATGACCCAACACCATCACATCGGCCAGACCATGGCACTAAGTGCCACATCCAGCCTCTCCTTAAACACCTCCAGGGACGGTGACTCCACCACTTCCCTGGGCAGTGCATTCCGATGTGTGTGTTCATGTTCTGTTCTGCACTTTGGTTCTGCAGGCAGCTGTGAAATTAGGAACACAGATGATAACACAGACCTCATGTGTTGCTGTGTTTCTAACACACGCTAAAGTTCTTGCATGTGACAATGGCTATAGGATGATTGACACACTGAGAAACTTAAGGGTAGGGACGAGTATATAAAAAGTGATAAAACAATGGAGTGTCTCAAATGCAATCTTTCTGGTTTAACTTTGCTTTTGTAGTCATGTTTTTTAAATGACTAAATATGGAGAATGCTGGCTCAAAGGTAGTTTGTGGAGGCTCTTGTTAAAGTCTGAGCTCCCTTGTACATGACCAGGAATGTCAGTAAAACCTGTCTAAACTAGACTACAATAAAGAGGGATCCCTGCTTTTTGTAGTTTGTACTGAAGCTACATAAACAGCAGTTCATTTTAGGACATGAAATGGATCTGTTGGTACTTTTCTGTGAATATTTGCAGGGCAAAAGACCAGAGTTATAATATTCTTATTATCTTGCCTCTGAGGAGCACTGAAATTCTCGTGCTTCTAGGGTGACCATCCCTAGAGACCTGTATAAAAAAAACTAGACAAATTTCTGTCAAGAATGGCATTGATATGAATCTACTTTGAATAGGGGAGAGACTAGATGAATTCTTAAGGTGACCTCCAGCCTTTTTACTCTGGATGCTATAGTTTTTAAACTTTTTAACCTGCACTTGAGAAATGCCTACCTTTAACATCACTATGCTTTCAGCTACTGTTTATGAATCAACACTGTTTGATTTGACTATTTTATCTGTTAAGATACTTGCTATGAGTAACCCAGATTCCTCTGCAGAATATTTTTGATTGTAAATATATGCTTGCTAAGATTCTTAGGTGGCTGCTGGAGACATACCTGGAGAAACAGTGTGACTGTTGCAGACCAGGCGTAACATAGGACATCACAGTATTTCTGCAGTGATTCTGTTTCCTACCTGGTTTTAGTGTAGCCCATAATCAGTTATTCACCAAGTGACAGACAATATTTCAATTTTCCTGTGAGATGGCTAAGCTGGAAAGGAACCTTGTGTTTTAGCTCTGTCTTTCATACATTTGGACTTTGGCAGGCAATATCAGATAGTAATTTTGCTGGACTTTAAGGATAGCAGTATGATTGATGGCTAAAGAGACACAAGAAAAATAAGGATTTCTGTCATTGACCTTCCAGTGACATTGTTGGAAGAAAGTGATAAATCAAGCTGCATGTGTAGAGTATGTATTTAACTTACGTATACTCTGTACTGCCTTTGAGAAAATATTTCCACACAATTGTATGACAGGGAAATGATTTTACATTTTTTTCCTTTGATGGGAAGGTCACTACTGTTACTTTTCTTATTACTGTAATGATGATTGCTAAATGTTTCTGTTTAACATTTCTGCGAGTCTGTGTTTTTCCATTAGAGTTCACAGAGATACTCAGAACAGACTCATTCTGTGCTCTGCCTTCTTTCCTCATCTTGGCTATTATCCTGCTCCCTAAATGACACAGGTGATTTCCATTAGCAGTTTTCAGACAGCTGGTGGTATATATCTGTCACAAGTCCCGTGACACGTGTGAGTCTTTCACCATTCCTTCCGACTTTGCTGGACGCAAACATTTAGCTTTTGCTGGTCAGATCCTGTGTAACTATCTTTGAACATAGTTCTTCAAGGCTGATGAAGGAAATCCTAGAAGCTTGCCAGCACCCCTTGGCTGGAGAGTGAGCTTGCTGCTGTGTGTGTGAGCCAGTGTATCCTGCTGGATGCAGTAGCCCCTGGGAGAGAGGAGTCTTGAAATCACTCTTAGCACATGGAAGCTTCAGGTGCTGAATTATTCTGTTTGTGTGGAGCTTTGATACTGATGATACTATGTTTAAGCTCTTCAGATGTCATACCCAGAAAGAGAAGGGATTGCAGGAAAAACTTGGACTTTGCCACAATCTGTTTTGATAAGAAGGAATATACCCTTAGGGAAACAGTAGGAAAAGTAGGGGACAGGGGAAGAGACTGGCAGAATTGAATGGGCTGATAGATTTGGAAGTTAGAAGCAGTAAGGGATGAGATTAACAGTTTCTGTTGTGAACAGGGTGAGTATCATCAGCTAAGAAACATGATTTTGAAACTTATTAGGAAGGCCAAGAGCTCAGGAATAAGAGATAGATCTAAATTCACTCGTGTGTTTTTATGGAGAAGTTAAGCTTAAAAAGAAATAATCTGTTTGTTTAGCAGTAATGATTTTGCTTTTGCACTTAGCATAGAGAGATTTAATTTCAGAAGCATAATACTAAATGTCCATTAGTGAGGCTATAATAAACATTCATCTGTTTATTCCTTAAGCAGCATGTTTCCTAGAGCTATTTATTCCCCTTGTTCCTTACTCCACACTTTCTCATGTCAATCAAATTATCAGTTACAATAATCACAAATCCCATTAGGAACTAATTACATATATGCAACTTCAAGTTAGTTTACCTCTTTGCCAATGTTATCCACAGGATTTTTAAGTGCAGTCAGTGCAGCTTGCTTCTCGCCCCATTAATTATGGTTACACGTGCTTATGAAGTATTAAGATCTAGAACTACTCTGAACAATATTCTGTTTCTTCAGAAATAAGACCTATAAAATGGAGTAACTTTCTTTGGGCTCAGATGCATTGAACTCTGCCTGCCATCCACTCTTAGGAGCTCCACCATTCTGTTTCATATCTGTACGGTTCCTGAGGGACACGGTGAGGTCCCCAGTTGATCTTTCTTTTCTTGCTTGAATATGTGCTGTAACTGGAGTTGAGAACGGAGCCTTGCTGACAAAATGTGAACAAAGATGACATGAAGCAGGCTGGAGGGGGGGTCACCATAAGGACATGGGTATAGATACTTTTGAAAGCTGTTAAATGAACTCGCTTCTTTCATGAGAACATGAAGGGAACAAGGTGTTATTTTTCCAGTAGAGAATGTGAAAAACAGTGGCTTGTATGAATGTGGTATACCTGTCAAGGAACTTGGTTTTGGACCATACCAGAAAGAATCTATTTCAAATATTTCAGCAAAGTAGTCTTTATATGCTGTTACAACTGAGATAAAAAATTATGTCTACATGTATATATTGGTTCATTTCCATAATAATCTGTGTAATTTTCTTTGTTTTCTATACACATGCATCTCTTCCCCTGACAGTGATGGAAATTAAAGGGAACATTTGCAGCCAACAAGGAAAAAAAATAGTCTGTGAAGATACGTAATACTGTAGCCTGTGTTAAATTGAAGCTTGTGGAACTTGCTGACTTTAAGTGTTTAATGAAAACAGAATCATTATCTCCTCTCTAGGCAGGTAGAGACCTCCTCTGGGATTTAAACACATGCATCAGGAGAAGAATAGACCTGTGTGTTTCTGGAAAGTTCACACCCACAGGGTTATACTTTGTTTCTGCAGTCTGGATAGTTAAGAAAAAATGCTATTCTGAAAAAGAAAGTCAGAGCAAATCCTAAAGCTCGATATTTCCTGTACTCAGTTTTAAAAAGCAGCTTTCAAATGCTTGTGTTTGTATCACACTTTACTTATAAAGCTATTAATTTTAAAAGCCTTCCTGAACCCTCCCCCCAAACTCCCTTGCAGAGAGAGGTCTTTTGGACTGTAAAAGAATGGGAGAAAAAATTAGATGATTGATTTATAAACACCTGAAAAAACATAGTCTATGTGGAAAGTGCTGGAACAACCTTAACCAAAGTAATGTCACTGGATGCCAGTTTAGTAAAATAAGTCATTCTAAAGGGGCTTGAGGTGATTTGAGGACAAGGCAGTTCAAAAGGAGAGAGAAAAGAGTGGGGAGGATAACTGTGAAACTGAAGATGCTTCTTCCCCACTAGTTCTTCTCAGTTGCCCATGGCCAGTAGAAGTATTCTCTGAAGCAAAATACCATGGGTGGTTGATTTTATGCGATCAGCAAAGCAACACTTTCCTTTTTTGTTTTCTTAAAGTCAGTTACTTCATTGTTCATGTCTTTTATAGCCATAGGACTCCATCTAAAGTAGGGGTAGCCTGTCTAGTTTTCTTTCATTTGTGTTCATGCCTTCCTTCATCCAGTAAGTGTGGTTGCACATGGGTTGGGAGGGGCTGAATTGCTGCTTTTTATAAGGTTGACTTTTATGTCATTATACTGTGATGAGTTCATCGTGTTTTCTGCCTTTTAATTTCTTCTGAAAAAAGAAAAAGTAATTTTTGCCTCATCGTGTATCTTTTGCCAAACCAATTTAATACCAACTTCTTTTATTGTGCAGAGCTGGTTATTTGCCTCAGAATATTCCTCTGGAGATTATCGGATACCTTTCAGAGGAGAAGGATTTTCTGCCTTGGCACGCTGCCAGCAGAGCTCTTTATCCTCTGGATAAATTGCTGGACCGTACAGAACACTACAACATCTTCAATGTAAGCGATACAGTCCTCTCTTCCTCTCTTCCTCTTCCCCTCCACTCCTCCTTTCCGCCCTCCCTTCCGCCCTCCCTCCCTCTCTCCTTTCATTGCCAAGAGTTGAACTATTCCCCAGTCAGATACTGTAAATGACCTAGGGATATTAGCTTTATTCCTAATTATTCTTTATTTAAGCATAGCAATTGTCAAGCTTTGGTTCATTTGCATTTGAGCTGTGATAACTGTTGTTTGAGGCACATATGATTAGTAGAAGGAAAGCTAATTATCCATCCTGTAACGTATTATGATAAATCAAGTATTTCACTTAAAAGAGCCAAAGTAATCTATTTCCAGATTTTTTCTTTTGAGGAGCCCTATGGCAATATTTAGATTGATGCCTAAGCTCTACAAGGACACCAAATGCAGGCACAACTGAGCAGGACACATGCAACTGAAATAAAGATTTGTAGTCATTATTTCATCGAAAGAGCCATGGTGAATTCAATGCAGTTACCTTAATTAACCATGATTAGATCACCATTGAATCAAAGTCCCATTCATAATTGGGACTGAAGGGACCTACAGCTGCAGTAACAGCTAGCGGCAGATGATTAAGATAGACATGACAAACATTTTGACATTTTACCTGAAATAAAAAAACCACAACAGTATAGTTACACTGAAGCACGTTTTGTGAAGTACTCAGGATCAGACTGCAGCCAGTGACAATTATGGACTCTCGAGTTTGTTTATTCACTATGATTTTTGTGTAGTCTACATGTTTTCAATGGCCAGCATACTGTAATTTTATTTATTTATTCAAATAAATTGTATTTTTATTTATTTATTCAAATGAAAAACCTCTCTAAAGCCTGAAATGCTTAAAGGTGTTTTTTTCTTCTTCTTCATTGTATATTTCGGGGGTTTTTTTGTGTGTATGTGTGCATGTGTGCACAGACACACGTGCTCAGAGAGCAGGAAACTAGATGTTTTATATATGGTACATACATACATATATATATCTACACACACACATGTACACAGAGCTACCTGCTGACATGGAAAAATATTTTTATAGAACATGTACTATAGATTAACAAAAACACATCGAAATTCTTTATGAACTGACAATGTAGGCCTACATACAAACCAGAGCCATAATATAAAATGATGTTGAAATAATTTACATGTTTAGTCTGTTGTTAGCTGCACAGAAAAATTCTTTTGAGTCTACCATTGCTATTTCACTTTTAAACATGGCTGTGTAAAGAAGACAAAATTTTAATACAAAAACAGTAAAATTCATAGCTGGGTTGTGTTTTATCACCACTGATGAGAGTTTTGAAAGCAGAGGTGATAGCAGGGGAAATAAAATGTCTTTTTAGCAGCAGCAGAACATATCTGCTAGAGAAAGTTGCACTATTAATCTCCTTTTGTGTTGACACCATATATACATGCCTGTGCATCCACCATAATAAAATAGATTCTCCCCTGTGCAGTTCTTTATATCTCAGTTCTCTTTTTCAAATTGGTGAATTCCACTGGCAAAAGATCACACTGAATAAATGACAGTGATTTTCCTCACAACTGGCCAGAATATATAACTATGTCTCCTGTGTAAAAGTAACTAAAATCAATCTTGGACTTGTTTTGTTCTTTAGGCACACCAAGAACCTAAACTTAAAGCATAGTGTCATTCAATGTGCAAAACTTATTTGCAGCCACATTGTTCTGTATTCTGAAGTCAATTGACTGTACTTACATAATGATTTTGCCATTCTTTTAAAAGTGAACACGCACAGTGTATTGAGATTGGCCACAGAATAGAAATTAAGCAGTTGACACTCTTGCAACTTTTTAGCTGTGTGTTGTGAGTTCAAAGTAGCATGTAAGAACCTTTTTTAATGGATGAGTTTTCTAACTATAAATTGCATTATACTGGGCATCTAATCAAATAGCTGTTCTACAAATAGCTTCTCACTATAGCAGTGAATAAGGATTATAAGTGGACATGGTGCTGTGCTAAATGCAAATTAAAATCTCTGGAAAGTCAGACATTATTTGAGGGTAAAAAGAGAGACAAATAGTAAGTAGTATTTTGATTTAAAGTAAAAAATAAATGTTAACATTAAATACATTTTTCTTTTCCCCCTCAGGAGTATATTTTGAGACAAGTTGCAACAATGTATCTCAAGCTTGGATGGCCAACGAATAATTTAAACAAATCGCTTGTTCAAGCATCATACCAACATGAGTACTGTTATATTTCCTTTTTTTATTGTTTGTTTGCAGGATATAGCTGTAATAATGCATTCTTCTAAAATTTGGTGTCATCTTCAGCATGTCATACTTTTCTAGCTCTGTTGGCCTAGTATTTTTTCTTTCTGAGTTAGAGGGAGGGCAGCAAGATGCTGTGAGATTAAATCCTGTTTCTCGAGTTTGGAGAACATGATTTCCTAAGCCTTAATCTAGTCTTTGACTGCACTGGATATTTAAGAACTTGGACTTATGTGACCACAGAGGTCAGGAAGAGTGCGTAAGTGTAAAGAGGGGCTGGTTTTGGTCCATAGTCTTTCTTCAGTTGTTGCAGCAGTTCTAGGCATTAAATTGACACTGAGATTTGTATAACTGGATTATCCTTGATATGTTGCCCAGCTATGAGTTGCTGCCACTGTTATAAGAAATAGCTTTTTGCAACCATTCAAATGCATTCATGAATGCAGCCTTAATGCTTTCTTTAATTTGAACAGAGAGTTGCGTCGGGAAGTCATCATGTTGGCCTGCAGCTTCGGTAACAAACACTGTCACCAGCAAGCTGCAACGTTAATCTCAGATTGGATTTCTAGCAATAGGAACCGGTAAGTGGAACTGAACTGTGTATTTCCTATTTCTCTTCCTCAGAAATGATAGAGCTGGCAGGCTCTTCCTCTCCTGCCCTCCCCCATCTGAAGTGCCCAGTTGGGCAGAGCCGTATGGGAGGAAGCAGAGGCTGTGATTGAAAAATGTATGTGGGGCTTCCGAATGAATTACGTGACTTTACGCGTATGAGTGGGTGGAGGGGACACCCATGTAGCCTCTGCCCACTCCTGATAAATTGCTGTTAGATAATTATATGCTAGAAGGTGAGAAGGCGGGTTTTAAAGAAAAAAGGTGAGTGAACATACCACTGGCAGACACCATTGGCAGACACGGATCCTGTGTTGAGACAAGAGAGCAGAAGGTGATAAGTGACTAAAAAAATGCGAGACAGAGGCAGGAGGACTGAGAAGTATGAAAGGAGATGAAACAATGTATTGGAGGGAAATATTATGAAGTATTTAAAGGAGAAGACAGAAATATAGTGTTATTCAGGAATACATGGAAGAGCTCATGTAAAGTCTCAGAAAGGGAATAATATGATAGCTGATATGTTGAGCATTAGCAACACTGTTGTGGTTTGGCAGCAAATATGTAAGTTAGAGTGTCCAGACACAGGTTTATTCAGCTGAGGCAAGGGGAACATGGACTGTGGATGGTCTATGAAGTCTGTCTTTTAAAGGCAAGCATCTAGGAAATGTTAAATTACTGAAAATACAAATATTTGTGTATGTAGTGATCTATGGACAATGAATACAGGCCACAACTTATTGAAAAAGAATGATATTTCTTCTGATTATGTAGAATGTGAGTGTAGAAGCATTTGCATAAGTACATAACATGATATTTTGGTTTAAAGGAAAGTGTTTTAATTCCAGGTAAGAAAGAAAAGAGAAGAGAAGAAGCTTTACAGTTCTAGTCCAAATCTTACATTAGCTTTGCAAAAGGATGGGATCTCTGCAGACATATAGGCCTGCGGGGTTTTTAAAAGACATCTTCAGCCAGTGAGGTGTTTGTTCCTAATTAAAATATGTCTATCTGTCTTTATAGTCTTTGAAAATCTTTTACAGGCATTCCCAGTTATGTAAATAACTGAGTGTCTTTTAAAACTAGTCATGAACTGAGTGTGAATGGAAATTGCATTCCTGTATGACTTTGAAACTTCTCATAAAAAGTTACGTTGAAACTATGACTATGTACCTTTAAATAAGATATGTGCAAAGGGAAGGGTTTTCTTGGGTAAGATGATGCTGGGTATATTTACTATGAAATATATACCCCGGGGTTTTATACAAATTCTTATCATCAGCAGCAACAATCAGTATGAAACTATTCAAAGAGGAGATTAAAGAGAAAGAATCATTGGAAACAATCTGCAAAAGTAATTTACTTAGATATTCATTTGCAAAATTAGTTAATCAAACCTAGCACCATCTATTAGCATGCACAGCAGTAGATTATTCAGTGTTAAAAAGCTGTCACCCTGGAAAGCATGATTCTACCCTGTGTCTTCATCCTTTCCTACAGGATTGAAGAAGAAGGCATCAGGAAAAAAAAAGCTTAATGCTTTACTAACAATAGCAAGAGAGGAAAGGAATAAATTTAAGGAGCCATCTGAAGATTCATCTTAGCCTTTCTATGGGGACATTCTTGGGAGCACAAGATTGTGTTTGCCAGCGTATGACGAGTATTATGATAAAAGCATCACAGCAGGGCAGAGGAAGAGAATAGCTACCAAGTTGAAGTAGTCCATTTCTCCAAAAGAACTGCACAGTTTTGAAAAATAACTGCAACAAATAATGTAATTACAGAACACAGATTGACAGTCAGCTGATAAATAGGGGTACAGCTTGCAAAGAAGACAGAGAAGTGCTTTTATTTATTTCTTAACATTATAGGATTTGTTCAATTCCCCACCGCAGAATTTACCAGTTGCTATTCTCAGAGCAGTCTTGCAGACTTAATATAACTCATATATGAGCAGGCTCATTTCCTGTCTACTTACATTGAAATGACATTGCAAAGCTACTAGTAATAGCAGCTCGGTAAGCATAAAATCAGCTTGTGTTTCACAGTAACAACATTTATAGGCTCTGTCGATATTCTCTCAAGAATGTTCAGATCCCTGCTCCACGACAGGTACCCCATACCACCTTTGCTCAGTTTAAACCAGCTCAGACTGAAACCTAAAAATAAAGCAGAGGTTGCTTTTCCACCCAGAAAATGATGATGATTCTACAATCAGAATTTAATTAACATGGTCTCTGAGTCATACTTCTGTCTCTTTTAGCACTTCAGAGGCAATAGTTAGCTCAAGCGCAAAGGGCAAGCAGTTGAGAACAAGATACATGTAGAGGGCAGGTCCAGCATTTTGTGCCATTTTGTATTTTGTCTCATCAATCAAGTGTTTTGCTCAGTTTGAGGCACTTAACAGCTGCTTGTGAAATTGCTGCAAGCAGCCACCTTAGAATCTATAGGAATCCCTCAGAACTTTGTTTCCTCACAAAGAAGGGGAAACTCATGCTGCTCATCTTCCTCCAGACTCCTCTGGCAATTCCTGAGGTGACAGGTACAGAAACTGTTTGTATCCTTGCCTGTTCCCCTCCTTATCAGCAAGGAGTAAACTTGTATCTTGCTGAAAACTACTCTAAAAAATCTTGTAGATGCCCTTCCGTCTTCTGAAACAAGAAAAGACATTGAATAATCATTGCAGAAAGCCTAGTCTTGGTGGGTTTGCGTAGCCAGAGCATGAAGATAGAGTTCCAGAAAGCTCAGAGTTACTTTTATATAAAGATATAATTTGAGTTTGATTATGAGAGTAAAAATAAAGGCTAATTTGCAACCATCCCACCTGTCCCCTCTCCAAAACCTTGTTCTGTGAGATGAGATGTTTCATACAATGAGCTAATTCACAAGCAGTGCATGTTGGAAAGAACACAAATTCTTCAAAGCAATAGACCCCAAAATGAGACTGTGGAATTAGTCTTGTGTCCCAAGATTCTAATCAATACACAGTTAGGTAGTGTTCAATTAATATGTGGTATTAAATATCAAATAAATGCACAGGCAGTAAATCATGCGAAGTAGGTATTTGATTCCCTGGCAGTTACTGTAGTTAAAGTTCAAATAAGCGCAACAGAGAATATGCAGTTAATAATACTGTAGAAATGCCAAAATTCATAGCTTTTTAGCCATATTTGTAATCCATTACTTTTTTAGAAGTTCTTTTGAAATGTTTAATATTTTCTCTGTTTTACTTGTAGCATTTAATTATGGATAAAGTGTTGGGTAATTAACAAATACAGTAGCATCTAACTCTGTTTTACCAGCATATGCTTTCAGTCGCTGTGGTTTTTAGTAATTATATGTAGTCTGGTAGGTCCAGAAATTAATTACCATCTACTCTTCACTGCAGGGGATTGAAATAATCATAATAATCAGTTACTGTTTGTAATTACATGTTCTTTACTGTGCAAATAATTTGCCACTGTTTGCCAAGTAAAATAATGGTCATTCATAGCACAAAGCCAGAGGTCCTCTTTGTGTTTCCAGCACTATTTCAAAAAAGGGATTAGATTTCCAACTGCAGCCCCGCAGATTTTCCGACGGAATTAGTAATGAACCCCATACATGTAATCTGCAACATTAGCCTCCATGCATCAAAGCAAAAGTCAGCTGAGAGGCTTGAGGACTTGAATTTCTGAAGTGACTTAGGGGCTGCACTGCTTCATTTATAGGTGCCTGGCTCACAGGGCAGATGCCTGGAGTTAACACTTCCTACAAGGGGGTTTAGGAACCTCTAAATTTGGATGGTGGCAGCCACTGTGCTGATTGAAGAACCTCTTAACATAGGACTGTGAAGAGAGAGTGGATCCTCTTAGGGTCCTGCACTAACGTGGAAAGATACCTATGTCAAATGAATATGTAAATGGTGATCATGTAGTTAGGAATCCTTGTAAAAGACACTCTTCAAAAGTCTCACTAAAGCAGGAAAAGGTCTGCTCTTTTTCAGACATAGCTTGCAGAGGACCTGCTCCTCAGTGCCTTTTTAAACAGAAGTTCTGAGATTGTGGTAGAGTTTCAGTTTCGCACATCAGACCTGTATCTGCCACATGCAGAAGACCACCATGATGACCTGTCTGACATCTTTAAGACAGTATTAAGACACTGAAACACACTGTCCTTCTTCAGTCGAAGCTCAGCCACTGGGATTTACTTCATTAGCAAGAGAAACAATGCATCTCTCCATTCATCTGAGGGAGACTTGATTACCTGAAATACCAGAATTACTTAATATGCCAAGAGGATGAGGTGGTGTTGCTCACTAGCACTGGCAAAACGTGATGCTAAAAGAAGGAACATAACTCAAAAAAAGAAAATTGCCTCTACAAAGAGCAAGCCAAACATACAACATCGCATGTAGAAGAGGGTTTAAGGAGACATCTGGTTGTACTGGCCTAGGAATTGATAGCATATTTTAATGCTTGCCATGGTTAAAAAGGAGGTGCTTATTTCCTTCAGCTGAAAATCTGAGATTAGAATTAAAGGTATGTCTTACAGTCTTTTTAATCAATGAATTTAAGTAATTTTGCTCTGTTTAAATGGCTGATGGCTGCAGCACATTTTGCTTGAAAGGCTGCATTGACTTCTGACTTGATAGTTAATGTGAAGGCAAACATTTTCATTCTGTTAAGTTGGGGTATATGTTACTCCTGTATTGGAGCAATGGAAATCCTTGAAACTTCCATGCTGATGTTTTTCAGTAGAAAAAGTATAAACACATTGAAATTTCTCTTGTAGTTTGACAATGTAAGGTTACTGGGATTCAGTCAACAGCAGAATGCTGTACAAGAGAAGCTACTGTTGGCTGAAAATTAAGATGTTTGCTTCTACATTCATTTAACTGAGCTCATCCCTGTGAAGCTCTTTCATGTGTGAAGAAATACATTATTCACACTCCCTAGATATAACAGCATTGTAGTTCAGCCTAAAAAATTAACAA